TGATTATTTGTTATTCAACCTTCTGTGATGTTTCTTTAATTTACACCAAATGGGAATAGATAATATGACTTTACATTATTTCAATGCTTGTTAAATGACTGTTTGTCGTCAAGGAGTGTTTCACAAATTCTAATAATCGATTTTATCGGAATATATCTGTTTAATTAAAGATTTAAATATTTCAAGAAATACTGTGTGGAATAAAATCGTCTATAAGGAAAAACAGTAAACGAGGTCTGGCGAGACGATACAAACCGCCGGCAATTGTAATATTGGCAAGTAGATGCTCTTCTGGTTACAGAGGTAACAAAAGTTCCTCTAATGAAATAAGAGAAAACGAGGAGCACGACCCCCTAACGGACGCTAGGCCATAACCTGAATAAAGCATCCCCGGTATTCGGAGGATGAAATAATTCAAAATCGGTACAAGTAATGACCAGCCGCTCTGGTAAACAAGAGAAAACTATTGATAAATAAAAAACCAACTTCGATGTGGTACCACAGGACAATATAGCAAAAAATTATCGTGAAAGAATAAGTATCGGTGGTCAAGTATTGCGGGAAAGATCTGGTATGGGATCGTGAAGGAAATCTTATAGAAGACACACGCAAGGTCAATAGATAATCTAATTTATTGAATTATAAGGACACATTTTGAAAAATAAAACTGTCTGGCAAAATGATTCATTATTATGAACAGTATCTTAAAAATAAGAGTTTTAAATAACATCGTTTTTACAAAACTACAAAAGGCAGATTGTTGTTCAATATTTCAATGACATAAAAAAGGCAAACAAACATGATTTTTTTTCATTATATGAATAATTAAACTACTATTTTTCTGACGAATGTCGCGCAATATTAATGTTTCAAACGGCTCTCGAAATAATTGTTGACGTAGCTTAATCAAAAAGAAGGTCAAAATTAGAATATTTACATCAATTTGATATTTAAGATCGTGAAAGACCGGGTACCGCAGTTTTGAGATCGTGAATAGGACCGTGAAATATTCTGTGTCGCTTCTACGTCATTCCACAAATTATTGAAAATGCTCAAATAATTTTGTAATTATATGAATTGGTACAGCAAAAGACTGGATTTCCATGAATATTTCCGGTTCACTTTTTGTTTGGGAAGAATCTGTAAGGCCATGATGGTTCTATTCCATGAGGTCCGGTTTTTCTAATAAGACCTCATTTGATATCAATAATGTTTATGGACAGTATTATATCTATTAGAGGAAGATCCTTGTTGATTTTTGATTCAAGGAGGAATTTTTTTCTAAAATGTCATACGTAATTAAATTAAGTGTATTCTATATACGATATTCTGAATTGATTATTGGTGTCCAATTTCCGGTAAAAACTGAACTTCTATAAAAAAAAAAACTCACAAATCTTGGAAAACGTCTTTTAGTGTTACAATTTATAGGTCGTTGGCTGCCATTTCAAAATGACCTTCAAAATGTATGAACAATTTCAAATATGAAATTTTATATATAAATAGAACATATCCCGAAATAATTCCTTGTTTAAATTTGATGTGTTTAAACGTTCCAAAGCCACGCAATGCTTAAATGGAGGCGGTAGGAACAATGAACGATACGGTAAAAAGAGAAGCGAGAGGTAGCAAAGGGACATTCAAATCCATAAGTCGAAAACACTGACAGTGCTACGGCATAAAAACAAAAAAAACGAACAAACGACAAACAGTATAGCATACACATCACAGAAAATTAAAGACTAAGCACACGAGCCCCAGCAAAAAACTGGGGTGATCTCAGGTGCTCCAGAGGAGTAAGCAGATCCCGCTACATGTGGCACCCGTCTTGTTACTCATGTAGGTACAAACCCGGTGATAAGTCACATTCGGTAGATTTCATTCGAGAAAAAGAGGACGAGATTTTGGTTACGATAATTAAAACATATCCGTCGTCATCTTGAAACATATATTCCATAACAGTCAACCAACTCGTGATGGTTTCCGTAAAATTTTCGAAGGGATGATTTCAACTTCATCACTTAGAACTTATTGTTTAAGAGCTTCCTTGTGCTCTAGGATAACATATCAACTGTGGAATATATACTTCATATGCAGGCGCGTCTGGAATGTTGCTACATAGAAATGGAAATTTTACCATTGCGAAGCTGAAATCATCTCTTTTGTCGTAAAGTTTTGTTCTCATCCGACCCTCATTGTCAATTTCTAGACGAAAGTCGTCAAGATATGAGGCAGACTTAACTGCATCTGTTGTATCCTTTATTTCAAGTTCTATGGGATAGATACGTTCAAAGTGGCCACCAAACTATGAATTAATTCGTGAGAGAACATCATCGTTGAGTGGCAATTGAAGTTAATGGAATATGATTTTGACTTAATAAAATTGAGAATGGAAATGGGGAATGTGTCAAAGAGACAACAACCCGACCATAGAACAGACAACAGCAGAAGGTCACCAACAGGTCTTCAATGCAGCGAGAAATTCCCGCACCCGGAGGCGTCCTTCAGCTGGCCCCTAAACAAATATATATACTAGTTCAGTGATAATGAACGCCATACTAAACTCCAAATTGTACACAAGAAACTAAAATTAAAAATAATACAAGACTAACAAAGGCTAGAGGCTCCTGACTTGGGATTGGCGCAAAAATGCGGCGGGGTTAAACATGTTTATGAGATCTCAACCCTCCCCCTATACCTCTAGCCAATGTAGAAAAGTATACGCATAACAATACGCACATTAAAATTCAGTTCAAGAGAAGTCCGAGTCTGATGTCAGAAGATGTAACCAAAGAAAATAAACAAAATGACAATATTACATAAATAACAACAGACTACTAGCAGTTGACTGACATGCCAGCTCCAGACTTCAATTAAACTGATTGAAAGATTATGTCTTCATCATATGAATATCAGGCACAATCCTTCCCGTTAGGGGTTTAGTATCATACCATCATAACATATATGAGAAGAACATAACCCGTGTCATGCCAACAACTGGTTTTTAAATAAATGTGTTTAGTGCCGATGCAAAGACCCTATAAGTGAATCAATATTAACGCCAAAATATGCAATCTTTAATGACCTGACAACAGTATCGTAACTATATCCCTTCTTAATAAGTCTATTTAAAGGTTTTGTTAGCTTCAGAGGTGAATACTGACATTTTTGTGCTTTATAAAGAATATTTCCATAAAAAAATTGGATGTGAAATACCTGAATGTATAAGAAGTCTGTATGTTGAGCTATATTTACGAATGATGTCCTTATACCGATGATAAAATTTAGTAAATGTTTTGACTAGTTTGTGATATCGAAAACCCTGGTGTAATAATTTTTCAGTAATACATAAATTTCTCTCGTTAAAATCTAAAACATTGTTACATACACGAGCGAATCGTACAAGTTGAGATATATAAACACCGTAAGATGGTGACAAGGGAACGTCACCATCTAAAAATGGATAATTAACGATAGGAAATGAAAAATCATCTCTTTTATCATATATTTTATTATTAAGCTTTCCATTTATGATATAGATATCAAGATCGAGGAAAGGGCAGTGGTCATTGTTAGTATTAGCTTTATTTAAAGTAAGTTCAACAGGATAAATTTCTTTAGTATACATACTGAAGTCGTCATTATTGAGAGCCAAAATATCATCCAAATATCTAAAAGTATTATTAAATTTGTGTATCCGATGTTGTTTCGATGGGTCTTTGCTGATTTTTGTCATAAATTGTAACTCATAGCAATACAAAAAAAGGTCCGCAATAAGTGGTGCACAGTTAGTCCCCAATGGAATTCCGATAACCTGACGATATACGGAATGATTAAGTTTGACAGTGCTAGCTGTTGTTCCGTTGACATTTTCATCACATAGTTTGGGTACTACATGTATGACGTATATCAGTTTGTACACATCCAATGTATTTCCAGTGAAAACCCCTAGAGCTCTATTTCTTTACAAATTCGGAAATGCATTTGACACTATAGAAACAAAGTTACTTATTTTGACAAGTTATATTAGGCTCCTGGTGGTTTTATCATCTTGGGTGTCAAGTTGTTGTTGCCTTTTAAGTGAAAACAGATATTAATATGTGGCTATATATACATATTTACATAAAAACGTTTTCTTAAGGTATGAACAGAAAGTGTTATACTTTCAACCAAAACATTTTTAATTTTTCCTCTGTGAATTACTAGTTAAGTACTACTTGTATATAAATATAAATTTAAAATTATTAGTTTTTAATTGACTTTTTGAAAGGTTTTGTCGAAAATGCGGAGGTGGTTAATTTCACCACCAACAAAAAAGTTCTTATTAAGATGTCGTATTCTTCAATCAATTAAAGTACATCAATGGTAAACGAAATTTAATTTTCTATTGAAAAATATGAAAAAATAAGATAGGGTACGATTGTCAATGAGTCAACTACCCACCAGAGACCAAATCACTTAGATGCAAGCAATTATGGGCAATCATTCAATCTTCGGCGACGAGCAAAATCTTAACAGTCTTGTCTGGTCGCTCATTTCTTTCACGATCAAAATAAAGCGTTGTCTTCTCTTTCACGATCAATTTTGACTACAAATCAACAAAATCCTTCTTTTAAAATAATAATCTTAACATTTTCAAGGGAAAAACAGTTCCTTCTTACTGCACTGTCTGACAAACAACAGATTTGGTTTCAAATCTATCGTGATTTATTATAATGTGATAATTATAGACCCAAAACGTACATTTTCTTAAATGATCGCATAATGTTATGTGTCGCTTTTTGTTGTTTCTTAAAAAGTACAGCATTTTTTTCTTTATCTAAATGGACAATTTTGACAGAAATATTAATTGTTTTTTGATAGTAAAGATGAAAAACATACAAAGACAAATAAAAAGAAATTAAGATGATAAACAACTACCTAGAATCTATACTTCAAGACCATCATGTATTATTTGTGAAGTTGATACGGAATATTTATCCTCAGAGCTTATACTCATATGTTTTACACTATGCAGAATTTAAATAAAATTTATATCTATCTTCAGTTGTATTACAGATTAAGGTGACTGCAATATCTGATAGATTTTGGAGCAAACCGTGACCTTTCCAACTATTTTTACGAGCCTGTATACCATAGAAGGAGTTATTAATAAAACCAGTGTTATAAGGCCAATCAATTGTTTCTATTATCTTTTATATCACTACAGAGCCACTCCCTCTTTCGTTACTGCCTACTATCACATGGACTTTTAATCTCTATTTCAATCATATATTGCAAACATTACATTCATCATTTTATAAGAATATCAATTTTAAAGTTTCATGACAAATACACACTCACATTAATTATCACAGATTTTGGGAAAGATAACTTCGGAAGTGTTTCTTCGTTTGTCTGAGAATTGCATTATTTTGTTTAAATATAGAGCAATGCATGCTAACAATCAAGTCACTGAAAAGCAGATATCAATTCATTCATTTGTAACAATAACAATATTTCCGGAGTTCCTCGTGTTCTTTTTCAATACATTTAGGAGCATTTCCATATTTATTAACTCTACTAATTGAACTTTCATCTAAGATAAATGTATCAGCTTGCATATTATGATTAACAGTTACTTCAAATAATCCATCTCCAGGAGTTGTATAGATCAACACCTGATAAACAGTATGCAAAATTGCTGTATTATCCGATAAATATGCTCGGAAACCGTCAGCATCATTAGTCTTTTTGAATAGAAGCATATCTTTTTCAGGTAGCAGTTTTTGTGCTCTCAAAACATTTCTAAGTGTTAATTTTTGACAGAGTTTCCGATGAGGTTCTGTCAATTTATTTATTTCAGAAACTACATAATTTGAAACTTTAAGCACTGTCTGGTCGTCATTATTTAGACTTTCCCAATTTAAACATGCACACCAATGAGTTTCAATTCCTGCGCTGACACATGTTCTTGTTTTAGGGATTTCTTTGAACAAACTAATTCCTCTGTTATTTATATCTCCTTTTCCTACACCTTTGAAGTTTAGAATGTCTAAGAAGGTAGGATGTAAGTCAAATGGACAAGTTAATCTATCAACATTTAATTTGAAGTTTCGATATGCTGAACTATGTTTAGTTTTAAACCACTCTGGAAAAGAAAATCCAAAAAACGGAAGTCTTTCTTCTTGTTTACCTTGCAACGAAGATCGAAGACTGCTGAATCTCGCCCCATGGTCGCTCATTAAAATCACAAGAGTATTTCTTAAATATTTCCCATCATTTAGAAATTTTAATAGATTGAGCAAATCTTCATCTGCAGTTTCAACCATATTGTTATCACCATGACTGACTTCACTATGGAAACCGAATACAAACTTTGGAACTTTATCATATGTAGTGTAAATGTCACGAATCCATTGCATGAAGACTTGAGATCTTCTTTTACTACCTAAGCACAATTTTTTGTGTTTGCCATAGTATTGTTTTTGTGCTGTTACATGAAACGGTCTCATATAATGATCAGTAGGATTGTCCTTGAAGCCCACCATTCTATATGTAAATGTTCCTATATCTGGACAGTCTTCTCCCCATGCAGTAACGTATCCATTCTTCTGAAAATCTTTCCAAACCATTGGGTAAATATCGACGAAGTCCTTTTTAGCTAGTCTTTTTAGTGTTCGAGGTAATTCTAATTCTGTTTTACCTGTAAAAATGGGTATAAAGGCTTGTGGTGTTCCATCACCAACTATATTGTATCCATTTAGTGTTGTTCCTTTTAAAATCTCCGTGAAATATTTATATGTCTTTTTCAATTTTCTTATATATGTCATATGAGACAGAGAATCAAATCCGAGCATCAATACATCTAAACCTAGACTAGAACTAAGATTGGCTGCCTTTTTATGATATTCTGGTACATTTCGCACGCCAACATGTACATTTTCGTACACATTTTTGTCTTTCCCTGTGCAGTGAACTTTAACAAAATCAGATTTAAGAGAAAGAACCGAAGAATCAGTTAAAGTTACAGTGTCCATATCTTTGTTCTGAAAGTCATCAATACGATCAAAATAAGTAAGTTTACAAGAAATACTTCCATGTTTTTTCTTAGCTTCAGATGTAATAAACACAGTTCCATTCGATACAGATACCCAATCCGTGTCTTCAGAACATTTCACAGGATCAACGGAATAAAAATGCTTGGCATAATCTCCTTCAAATGGATTTAATTTTGGTTGAACACATACTTGGTCTCTTTTTCTGTGATTTTGTATCGAACTAGTAGAGGTCACTGTTGTAGGTGATGCAATAGACTTTGACACTGATATCCCAATATAAATGCCTGTCAATACAAAACCAATCACTAGCAGTAGTCTTCTACTTCCTTGACGCATTCTGAAAGAAAGTAAGTTCATTCTTGTATTGACTTTTCACATAGACAAATTTCCGTCGTATTCTTGAATAGCATTATTTTCAATTCAAGTATTTACTTTCCTGCGTTAACCCATATTAGTTTGCCATAAAAGTCCTTATCAAGGGCAAAACCATGAATAAAAGCTTAACATAATAAGAGCTAAAAAAAGATATACTTGTTTTTTTCCCCTCTCATTTATTTAGTAATTATGCTCAAACTACGAAAACAAAATTCACTCACTTATTTGTAACAATTTTAAATGAACCGACTTGCTTTCTTGGTCGGATCCAAGATTTTAGAACGGGGCGTAATTCCATAAAACGGATTATATAAAATATTTGGATGACTTTATGCTAAAAAATATATAAATCGTGAAAAACACGATATAATACATTTTTTGGCGATCAAAGGAGGCGTACGCACTCTATCCCCCCCCCCCCCCCCCCCCCCCCCTTGGATCCGCCACTGACTTTGCTGTAGCTGGGTATATATAAATTACTAGCTAGGATTAGATTAATACGTTATTCTAAGCTTTGATTGTCATTTTGTGGCAATCCGTATCGAGACCGGAAGAAATGATAATTTACAATCACAAGAAAGAACTAGCTTTTGCTGTCCATATTCCATTGACGACGAAGAGCATATGCTTATATTTTTCCCATTATATGACGATATGTGAGACAGTTGCTTTAATAACTTAAACCTTGATTGTTTTAGTATTTTTTCTAGTCAAGATAAGCTACCAGTATGTGATTCTAGGTGAAATATCCGTGTGTGTGTGCCCATCCTGCAGAGACATTTTAGATATACGTCGTAGATTTTTATATACATGTAGATAATTTGTTTTCTTTCTCTTTTCCTTTATGGTTTTTAAATGTTTTAAGTAATTTGTTTCTTATGTGTAAATAATCATCATCTCTCGTAATTCTATATGAATGGCTTTTATATATTTGTAATTTATGTTTTATTCAATGTGGTTTGTACTTATTTGTAAAAGATGAGACGTTAATAAAAAATTGTATTGTAATTTCAATTGGATTTTTAAATCTTTTTTCAACCTTCAAGCACCTTGAAGCAGTGTTTAAACTCTGATTTACTGCACACAAAAAAAGAGAAATAAATCTGAAAAAGGAAGGAGATGTGTTAAAATTAACATACTTGTAAACAATAGGAAATTCTCAACAACATGTTTCCCTTACTTTAAGTCAAGTTACACAAATTGAAACGGATATATGCCTTTTAACCATAATAAAATATTAGACATTTTCATTACAATATAATCTAACTTTTATACTATTTTAAGATTAATGAAATAAGCTCTTCATAGAACAATGGTCCGTGTATATTTGCGTCCATTCATTTTTCGTTTTGAAAAATCAAAAACGAAAAACAAAAAACGAAAGTGTTTTCGTTTTTCATTTTTGATATCATAAATCAGAAAATGAAACACGGAAGTGTTTTCGTTTTTTGTTTATGATATCTCAAAACAAAAACAAAAAAACGACATTTTGATTTAATTTCTGTTTGTAGTTCTAAGTATCTCTCCTTTGTTATCGAAAAGGAATTATGTCAATATAGTTTGTTTCAATTAACGCAATTGTCAACTTGAAAACGTCAATTTAATGTAGACAAAATAGACCGCCTGACTTATGAATTGAAATAAGGTGATTAATGAAACAAAGACTTTCAAATTTTCTTGTTTTTATCTTTAAATTAATAAAACTTAAATTGTAATATCAAAATATTAAATGGATTACAAATTTAAGATTACACCGAAGTATACTATATAGATGGTAAATTTATATATATATGTTATTACTATATCATATTAACAAGGGAGGTTACTAACTGACAGGAAAACTAGCCCGGCCGTTAAAAAATACACAGCGGTTATCAGATCAAAAATATGTAAATCGTAGATAAATTCGACGAACGAAAAAGACTTTGACAGTCTTAACAATTTGGTTGCATGGTCTATACTTTTAAGTTTTAAAAGGTTGGAAATCGAAGACTGATTCGTATAGAAGACTAAGGTCCATTAGCCAATATTACACGAACATTCACGACGATACTATTTATACGTTATTTAGATTAAGTCCCCAAAACGTCACATTTCAAGGTTAAGCAGACCATCTTATGAGTCACCTGCATGAAGCAGTCTAAAAGAAGATATGTATAGCCATGCTCTGGCACATTATTGCAATTCCTACGTCTTACTTAATTTATATCACAATATAAAATACCTGTATGTGATATGATTGCTACGACTTTTTTTCATCAGATCGCAAATCACAAAACATAAGGTTGTGAGTGTAATTGTGTTTGGTCCGTTCTGATTATGTTGCCTCAATAATCAATGATTTATTTTGTTGTTTTCGACTTCGCTTGATTCCAAAATCATATACAATGATAATCATTCATAACCGTGAATATGGATGCTGGATGCTGGAACTTTGTTTTTAAGCATTGAAGCATAATAACTTTATTTTTTGCATGTTGGGTCAACCACGGAAATAGCCAACAGTTCAGGCGCTTGAGGTACATTTGTATTCACTTCTTTTATCCCTTTTTTATTGGTTGGTTGGTTTGGGGGGAAGTCTTTGAAAGAGATAAGACTAATTTCCCCTGGACCTATTCAACTCATATGGTAAAATTTAAAATTGGCCTGGAAATTGACAATTTAAGATGACGTAATAAATTGTGTCACAGTTTTACATATTCTCCTAAAATCAAAATACTATTCATTGCAGTGTGTTGCTGTTGAAGGCATTTTAATACAAAATTGGAAAGGGAATAGAGCCAATTTCTCCAGTGCTTGTCTTATTCACAGGGTCTAAAATTTGTTTTTCATATCTTTATTCTAAATGAAATTCAATAATAAAGAGTCTATATCATATATTTACAATATTGTTTAACAATTTTACTTATAAATTTCCATAATCTCAAAATGCTATTCAGCGTAACATGTTGCTGTTGAAGACATATTGCTACAAATTTGCAAAGTTTACATGTTGCCAAATTTTGCATCGAAGGACTTCGATAACCAAAAGGAATAAGTTAGTGTCGGAAAGACAATACATAGCTTTACTTCAAATATAATTTTAGTTTACAGCCGATTTCAATGAGTGTGTAGCTAAAGGTAATATCTTTGGTTAGCTTGCTTGCTAGCTGAACCGTGAAGTCATTGTTAGGTAAGGTATACTACCCTCCGTTCGAAGAAGCCTAGTCATATAAACAGATAAATTCGTTATCTGTCGGACTAGTCTACTCTTAAAGGAGGGTAGTATACCTTACCTAACAATGACTTCACGGTTCAGCTAGCAAGCAAGCTAACCAAAGATATTACCTTTGCCTACACACTCATTGAAATCGGCTGTAAGGTTGAGACTTTTTAAAAATTGCCCTGGTGTGAAATAAATTTTGGGGGGTGTTACAATTATTTGCGGCTTCTTGATTTTACGATAACATAAGAAACGTGCGAAGAACACAGGGACAGCACGTACATACGAAAGTGTATATGGATCTCGTCTTAGGTGCTTTTTAACGCATATGGTAAAATTAAAGCCTCTTAAATGTCTTATAATGCGAGAAGACTGTTACATGTTATTATTTACATGGCTATTTGTTTTAAGTAGCGTTCTGTCTTAGGAATTAAGGGCCTGCAGCCGGTTGTACGAACGTGTCATTAGTCTAATGAGTCATTAAGTCTTCATTAGCCTAATGCATCATAAAGGCTTAATGAAGACTTAATGACCCATTAGGCTAATGACACGTTCGTACAACCGGCTGCTGTATTTTATCATTATCTTAACTTTTATGTAAATTATGAATTGGACGAGTTAAAAAATAATCAGTGCAGATCAACTTTGTATAACCACTGTTACTGTTTTTGTAAGATTGGATTGATAAGAGTAAATGCAAAGATAATTAACTAAATTCTTCACAACAAGAAAAGAAAAGAAAAAGAAACTAGAGGCTCTAAAGATCATGTGTCGATCACCTACGTCTTTGTGCATCTTTCACATTGTATACTACTATTTACAGTTTCTCTCTATCTTGTTTAGATTTTGTTCAAGAAACAAAAGAGGGTAAAACAAAATTGTCATTTAAGGGCAAATAACTTACCTAATAACTTTTTCAACATAATTTGACCTGATTGTAGATCTTGTCTTGCTGATCGTTTTTGTTATTCGCCACAAATTGAAAAAAAACATCGCTATTGATGAGCAATAACTTCAATAACAAGTCACCTGAAAGGCAATAACTCTAATAAGGAGTTGTTTGACGATTTCCAATATACTGACTTCTTTGAAGATCTTGCCTTACTGATCAATTTTGCTGTAAAAAGTTTCTCTCTATCTATTATAGTTTTCAAGACAATAGGCAATATGAAAAAAGGTAGTATAATTCGTCGTTTTAGGTCAATAACTGTAATAAAAAATTGTCTGACAGTTTTCACGTAAATATGAAAAATAGTTAGAGCTCAAAATTTTAAACATGTCGGACCCTGTCAGATTTTTCTATTAATAGCAGCTTTTCAAAATAATAGACAAAACTTTTATTTTACTCCCTATGTTCCATTTTCAGACATGTCGGCCATCTTGGTTGGCACGCGGTGTCACCGAACAGATTTTTTAAACTAAATACCCAAATGATGATTGTGGCCAAGTTTGGTTAAATTTGGCTCCTTAGTTTCAGAAGAGATGATCTTTGTAAAAGTTAACGGACGACGATGACAACGACGACGATGACAGACGACGGACGCCAAGTGATGGGAATAGCTCACATTGCTCTTTGAGCCAGGTGAACTAAAAAGGGGGTTCATGTCCCAAGTGCCTGTGAACAAGACCAATTAGTGTATTGTGAGAGTTAAGATGAGAATAGGGGTAAAACTTTTCTTTATATTAGATAGATTAGATAGAGTTGCATTACGGCATAGATAGAAAATTATAACTTTTATATTGTGTATGACACAAAATG